TGTGTGTGTGTGTGTGTGTGTGTGTGTGTGTGTGTAGTTGTGTGTCATCAAAATATATCATGAAACACTGGACAGATGTTAATAAAACTCTATTTTTAACTTTCAGATTCAACTTAATCCAGGTTCTACAGTTAATAAACATTAGCAAACATAAAATTATTATAAATTTGTCTGTTTTACAAATACTGAACAAAGGTTTGATTTGCTGCTGCTCAGAGAAGCTAACATGCTTTGGGAGATCATTGTTGCTTTGTGTCACATAAAAAAAAGACCCCTGACATTTAAGAGTTCAGAACCCGCCCGGTTGACACATTTTCATGCTTGTGCTGTTCCTCTCTTGCTCTCAGTCACTCTGCTGTCCACACTGAATTACCGAGCATTTCCTCCTTGGCAGCAGCTTTAGGTCATGTGTCTGACTGCAGCAGCAGCAGCCTGGACTCTGAGGAAATGATGGACATGGAACACTTCATTCATCCATAAACAAACAAATAAACAAACATGGTAAGAAACCTTAATAATGATATGTAATCTGTGTTTGTTGTTTCAGTTTTCTTGGCTTGTCTACTCCGGTCATTTCCCACCGCTGAGGCGTCTGTGAAGGGTCTAATATTAGAGGAACGGCTCTGAGCAGGTTGTGGGTCTAACCTCAAGTTTCCTTCTTTCTTTAAACACCAAATCATCGCCACCATTAAAAAAAGGAACTTGGGATTAAAAGAAACCTTAAATTCATGTTCATTCTGCTGCTGATGAATGAAAGCTTRATTGTCCAGCCTATCACTGGTTAATCATTCACAGCGTTTTCTCTGTCACTTTACTGTTTACAGTGGAAAAGCTTTGGCATTTCTCAGTTTGTTTAGCTTAATTCACATATTGATAAAGACTTTTATGTGTATAAAACAGATTGCTAATTGGTGATTTTAACCCTTTTTTAAATTCAATGACTCAATATTCAGATTTTATAACTAGTTATGAAATTATCCACATCCTGTTAGAACAGTTATTGTCTAGGCTGATTTTGTAATAAAATGACGATGGGTTATTGAGGTGGAATGAGTCAACTTCCACAGTTTCTATTTGTGGTGTAGTTTTAAACACGTCAACAAAGACAAAATAAGTTTGAACTCATCAAACATCCTAAAAATAATGTTTTATTTGTGTCACCGTTATGTTGCACCAAGTTGTAATTCTGTAGTTTTAGGCACACCTGCATGTTTACAGTCTGTGGTTGAGGC